TGGGGGTCACACGGGCGGGGGAGGGGCTGAGGCTCCCCAGACCCCTCCCCCACCCCCCCATGAGGAATTTGGGGCCCTCCCGGAGATCGTGGGGACCCCCAGAGTCATTAATGAGCACAAAGAGCGCTCGGGCTGCTAATTACCCAGCTAATTAATGAATCACTGATGTACTAATTTATTTATTTTTAGCTAATGAGCCATTAATTATAATTAATTCTATATAATTAATTAATCACTAGTTTATTAATTCATTCTAGTTAATTAGTCACCAAATAATTAATTTAATTTTAGCTAAATAATCACTAATTATAATTAGTTTTAGTTAATTAATCACTACATATAATTCTTTTTACCTAACTGATTAATCACTAGCTATATTCATTTTAGCTAAATAATTAATCACCATTAATTAATTTTAGCTAATTAATGGCTAGTTATCATTCATTTCAGCTAAGTAATTAATCACCAATTTAATAATTTAGTTTTAGCTAATTGTTAATTATAATTAACTTGAGCTAAGTAGTTAATCACAAATTTAATATTTACAGCCAATTAGTTGCTAATAGTAATTAATTTTAGCTAATTAAACACCAATTTATGTAACTTCAGCTAATTAATGAAGTTAATTATAGTTACTTTTAGATAATTAATCAGTAATTATAACCAATTTCAGATAATTAAACACCAATTTATTGATTTCATTTTAGCTAATTAATTAATCACTAATTATCACTTACTTTAACTAACTAATCCCCAAATATAACGCACTTTAGCTAATCAATGAATCCCCAACTGTAACTCATTTCTGCTAACTAATCAATCCCTAATTAGGGCTGCTAACGAACCCCGCGCGGCGCTGGGGGGAGGGGCTCAGATCTCGGCGTTTTGGGCAATTCCTCCCTCCTGGAGACTTTGGCACCGTCTCGTTTTGGGTCGAAAAGAGGAGAAAAAGGGAAAGAGAGAAGAGAAGGAGACAAAAGGGGCTACTCACAGATCCGGGGGGCAAAAAAGTCCTTTGGGCCCCTCCTGGGGGGCTGCTCTTACCCGCGGCTGCTCCCAGCGCGCCCCGGCCCTGCGGCACAGGCGACAGTCACCACGCGGCCCGAAACGGCCACAAACGGCCCCGAAACGGCCAAAACGGCCAGAAACGGCCCAAAATGGCCAAAAACGGCTCCGAAACGGCCCCGAAACGGCCACAAACGGCCCCGAAACGGCCACAAACGGCCCAAAACGGCCAAAAACGGCTCCGAAATGGCCAAAACGGCCCAAAACGGCTCCGAAACGGCCCAAAATGGCCAAAAACGGCTCCGAAACGGCCAGAACGGCCAGAAACGGCCCCGAAATGGCCAAAAACGGCCAGAAACGGTCCCAAAACGGGGCCCGGCCGCGGCCACGGCACCCCCAGAACCCCCGGGGATGGGGGCGTTCCGGAATGTTCCTTGGGGTGCTCCTGGAGTGCTCTGGAATGTTCCTTGGAATGTTCTTGGAGGTGTTTCTGGAATGTTCCTGGAGGTGTTTCTGGAATGTTCCTGGAATATTCTTGAAATGTTCTTGGGGTGTTGCTGGAATGTTCCTTGGGGTGTTCTTGGAGGTGTTTCTGGAATGTTCCTTGGGGTGTTCCTGAAATGTTCTTGGGGTGTTGCTGGAATGTTCCTTGGAATGTTCTTGGAAGTGTTTCTGGAATGTTCCTTGGGGTGCTGCTGGAATGTTCTGGAATGTTCTTGGGGTACTGCTGAAGGTATTTCTGGAATGTTCCTTGGGGTGTTGCGGGAATACTCTTGGAATGTTCCTGGGGATGTTTCTGGAATGTTCGTGGAATGTTCCTTGGGATGTTGCTGGAACATTCCTGGGCGTGTTTCTGGAATGTTCCTGGGAGTTTTCTTGGAATGTTCCTTGGGGTGTTGCCGGAATGTTTCTGGAATGTTCCTGGAACAGAGAATTCCTTGTTCCTGAGGTGTTGCTGGAATGTTCCTTGGAATGCTGCTGGAATGTTCCTGAGGTGTTGCTGGAGGTGTTTCTGGAATGTTCCTGGGGGTGTTCTTGGAAGTGTTCCTGGAATGTTTCTGGAACATTCCTTGAGGTAATCTCGGAACATTCCCAGAGTGTTCCTGGAATGTTCTTTAGGGTGTTGCCAGAATGTTTCTGGAATGTTCCGGAGGTGTTGCTGGAATGTTCCTTGGAATGTTCCTGGAATGTTTTTGGGGTGTTGCTGGAATGTTCCTGGGGGTGTTCCTTGGGGCGTTCCTGGAATGTTTCTGGGGTGTTCTTGGAAGTGTTTCTGGAATGTTCTTTGGGTGTTGCTGGAATGTTCCTGGAGATGCTGGTGGAACGTTCCTCGGAATGTTCTTGAGGTGTTCCTGGAATGTTTCTGGAACGTTCCTGGGGGTGTTCTTGAATGTTCCTGAAATGCTCTTGGGGTGTTGCTGGAACATTCCCAGGGGTGTTCCTTGGAATGTTCCTTGGGGTGTTTCTGGAATGTTCCTGGGGGTTTGGGCCCCCCCAGCCCAGATTTGGTGGGTTTGGGGTTTTTGGGAGGTGACGGCACCTCGGGGATGCTCAGGACAGGTCCTGAAACCCCCAAAAAGGGCCTTGGGTGGTCCCAAAACCACTGGATCGTGGCGTGGAATGAACAAGAGCTCCTAAAAACACTCAAATTTTGTCATGGAAGAGAAAAGAGTTCCTAAAATCCCTGAAATTTTGTCATGGAAGAGAAAAGAGGTCCCCAAAACCCTGGGATTTTGTCCGAGTGAGACGATTCCTAAAACCATCAAAAAATGGTCTGGGGTGGAAGAGAATTCCAAAAACCACCAGAAATGGTCTTGGAAGATCAAGTGTGGTGAGGAAGTTCCTAAAAAACCCCCAGGAGATGATCTGGAAAGGGAGAGAATTCCTAGAAATGACCAAAAATGGTCTTGAAAAGGAGAAAATTCCTAAAAACCCCCAAAATCAGGTCTTGGAAAGGAGAGAATTCCTAAAATTCACCCAAATTGTGCCTTGGAAGCGCCAAAATTTCCATTAATGTTCTTGGGTTGTGTCCATGTTGCTGAAATCCTAAAAAACATCAAGTTTTGTGCCTTGGAAGTGAAAGAATTCCCATGAAATGCTCTTGGGTTGTGTTGATGTTGAGAAAATTCCTAAATTTTGCCCAAATTCTGTCTTGGAAGTGTGAGAATTCCTAAGAAATGCTCTTGGATTGTGCTGATGAATTCCTAACATTCGCCCAAATTGTGCCTTGGAAATGAGAGAATTCCTAAAAAATATTCTTGCATTGTCCTGATGGTGCTGAAATTCCTAAAATTCCCCCAAATTGTGCCTTGGAAGTGCCAAAACTCCCATTAAATGCTCCCGAGTTGTGTTGAGAGAATTCCTAAAATTCATCCAAACTGTGCCTTGGAGATGAGAAAATTCCCATTAAATGTTCTTGGAATGTGTTGATGTTGAGAGAATTCCCAAAATTTGCCCAAATTGTGCCTTGGAAATCAGAGAATTCCTAAGAATTGTTCTTGGGTTGTGTTGATGAATTCCTAAATTTGCCCAAATTGTGCTTTGGACATGCCAAAATTCCCACGAAATCCTCTTGGGTTGTGTTGATGTTGCTGAAATCCTAAAAACCATCAAGTTTTGTGCCTTGGGAATGAGAGAATTCCTAAAAAAAAAATTCTTGGGTTGTGTTGATGTTGAGAGAATTCCTAAAACTCCCCCAAACTGTGCCTTGGAAATGAGAGAATTCCTTAAAAAAACACTCTTGGCTTGTGTTGATGTTGAAAGAGTTCCCATGAACCACCAGGTTTTGTGTCCTTGGAAATGAGAGAATTCCCATGAAATATTCCTGGGTTGTGTTGATGTTGAGAGAATTCCCAAAACCCACTTGGTTTGTGACATGGAAATGAGAGAATTCCTAAAAAATGCTCCTGGGCTGTGTCCATGTTGCTGAAATCCTAAAAACCATCAAGGTTTTGTGCCTTGGAAGTGCCAAAATTCCTAAAAAATGTTCTTGGGATGTGTCCGTGTTGCTGGAATCCTAAATTTTGCCCAAATTGTGCCTTGGAAATGAGAGAATTCCTAAGAAATGCTCTTGGGATGTGTCCGTGTTGCTGAAATCCTAAAAACCACCAGGTTTTGTGCCTTGGGAGTGAAAGAATTCCCATGAAATGCTCCTGGGTTGTGTTGATGATGCTGAAATTCCTAAAATTCACCCAGATTGTGCCTTGGAAATGAGAGAATTCCCATGAAATGCTCTTGGGATGTGCTGATGTTGCTGAAATCCTAAAAAACACCAGGATTTGTGCCTTGGAAGTGCCAAAATTCCCGTTAAATGTTCTCGAGTTGTGTTGATGTTGACGTGTGCCCACCTTGGCGTACTCGATCTTGAGGGTGCAGCAGCCCGAGTAGATGTCGGCGCCGTTGAGCGAGGCCTTGGCGCGCTGCGCGCTCTGCACCGAGTCGAACGTGCCCCGGGGTCAAGGAGAACAAACCCTGGGCTTTGGGGCAACTCCCGGGGGATTTGGGAACTCCTGATGGGATTTGGGGCAATTCCCGAGGGATTTGGGAACTCCTGATGGGATTTGGGACTGGGGAATTCCTGAGGGATTTGGGATCGGGAGAATTCCTGAGGAGATTTGGGATTGGGGGAATTCCTAATGGGATTTGGACTGGGGAAATCCCCGAGGGGAGTTGAGATTGGGGAATTCCTGATAGGATTTAGGGAATTCCCGATGGGATTTGAGGGAATTCCCAACTGGATTTTGGGAATTCCTGAGGGAATCTGAGGAATTTTGGGACCTCAGGGGGGTGGGGACACGGGGACAGCTTCGCTCTGAGCCATTCAGGGGAGCTCAGATCCCTGGGATCCCCACTGCTGAGGGAACTGGGGGCACTGGGATTTCGGGGACCCCCCAAAATCCCAAATTCCAGTTGGGATATTCCACCATGGCCTGCACGCCGTTCTTGCGGAAGATGACGATGCGCTGCACCGGCCCGCAGGGGTTGCAGATGGTGTAGAGCACGTCCTGGGGGGAAAGGGGGGTCAGGGGGCAACTCCCGGGGGATTTGGGAACTCCTGATGGGATTTGGGGCAATTCCCGAGGGATTTGGGAACTCCTGATGGGATTTGGGACTGGGGAATTCCCGAGGGGATTTGGGATTCGGGGATTTCCCAAGGAATTTGGGAATTTCTGATGGGGATTTGGAAATTCCTGAAGGGATTTGGGACTGGGGGAATTCCTAATGGGATTTGGACTGGGGAAATCCCCGAGGGGAGTTGAGATTGGGGAATTCCTGATAGGATTTAGGGAATTCCCGATGGGATTTGAGGGAATTCCCAACTGGATTTTGGGAATTCCTGAGGGAATCTGAGGAATTTTGGGACCTCAGGGGGGTGGGGACATGGGGACAGCTTTGCTCTGAGCCATTCAGGGGAGCTCAGATCCCTGGGATCCCCATTGCTGAGGGAACTGGGGGCACTGGGATTTCGGGGACCCCCCAAAATCCCAAATTGCAGTTGGGATATTCCACCATGGCCTGCACGCCGTTCTTGCGGAAGATGACGATGCGCTGCACCGGCCCGCAGGGGTTGCAGATGGTGTAGAGCACGTCCTGGGGGGAAAGGGGGGTCAGGGGCACCCCAAAACCCACCTGGGACCCCAAAAATACAGCCCAGGACCCCCAAAATGAAGCTAAGACACCCCAAAACCCACCGTGGTGATGGAGTAGATCAGGTTGAGGATGGCGAAGAGCAGCACATTGTTGGTGACCCCAAACCCCAATAAATCCCAATAAAAACCCAATAAACCCCAACAAAACCCCAACAGACCCCCCAAAGCCCCCTCACCGTGGTGATGGAGTAGATGGGGTTGAGGATGGTGAAGAGCAGCACGTTGTTGACGCCGCGCGCGTCGTCGCTGTCCCCGGGCCGCGAGATCTTCTGGCTGGTGGAGTAGTTGACGAAGGCGGGGTGGCCGGCGAAGTAGATCTGGTTGTCAGCCGCGTAGTTGACGGCGTTGCAGGCGCCCAGGATGTCCTCGAACTCCACCAGGGCCTGACGCTTCTTTGGCATCACCACCACGTAGCTGGGACAGGGGGACACAGTCACCAGGGTGGCATCACCTCGAGGTGTCATCACCTCGTGGTGTCATCGACCCAAAGTATCATCACTCCATGGTGCCATCACCCTGTGGTGTCATTAGCCCCTGGTGTCATCACCCTGTGGTGTCACGACACTGTGGTGACATGACCTCATGGTGGCATCAACCCATGGTGTCACCATTCCATGGTGTTACCACTCCATGGTGTTACCACCTTACAGCCAGGACAGGGAGACGTGGTCCCTGTGGTGGCATCACCTCGTGGTGTCACCACCCCATGGTGTCACCACCATGCAGCTGGGACAGAGACACAGAATCACTGTAGTGGCATCACCTTGTGGTGTCATCACCGCGGTGCCCCCATGTCCCCAGCACACTGTCCCCACCCTGGGGTCCTCAGTGTCCCCAGCACAGAGTCCCCTCCACGTTCCCTAGTGTTCCCAGCACACTATCCCCAGCACAGTGTCCCCACCCTGGTGTCCCCAGCACATTGTCCTCACCCCTGTGTCCCCACCCCACCGTCCCCATCATGTCCCCAGCACACTGTCCCCATCATGCCACTCCAGTGTCCCCAGTGTCCCCACCCAAGTGTCCCCACCACACTGTCCCCTGTCCCCAGCCCACTGTCCCCAACTGTGCCACCCCCATGTCCCCAGCCCACTGTCCCCACAGTGTCCCCATGTCCCCACCCCAGTGTCCCCACCATATGCTCAGCACACTGTCCCAACTGTCCCCCCTGTGTCCTGTGTGCCCAGGTGTCCCTAGCACACTGTCCCCATGTCCCCAGTACACTGACACTGTCCCCACCGTGTCCCCAGTGTCCCCACCTGATGGGCCCGAACTCCTGCAGCGCCTCCACCAGGTCAGCCTCCACGATGCCGTCGATGAGGCCGCGGATGTGAACCACGGGCGACGCCGGCGTCTTGTGGGGGTCCTCGTAGTTCTCCTGGGGACACCGAGGCTTGGGGACATCCCTGTGGGGCTGGGGACATCCCTGTGGGGCTGGGGACATCCCTGTGGGGCTGGGGGACATCCCTGCTAGGCTGGGGACATCCCTGTGGGGCTGGGGACACCCTGTGGGGCTGGGGGACATCCCCGCTGGGTTTGGGGACATTCTTCTGGGGCTGGGGGACGTCCCTGCTGGGTTTGGGGACACTGAGGGCTTGGGGACAACCCTGTGGGGCTGGGGACACAGAGAGCTTAGGGACACTGTAGGTTTGGGGACACTGAGGACTTGGGGACACCCTGTGGGGCTGGGGGACATCCCTGCCAGGCTGGGGACACTGAGGACTTGGGGACACCAAAGGCTTGGGGATACTCCCGCTGGGTTTGGGGACACTCCACAACCATGGGGACACCCCCAAACCCCACAGCTTTGGGGCCAGGCCGAGTAGAAATGGGACCCTACACCCCTTAAACTTAAACTTCCTCAAAGGAGCATTATACAACCACAATATTTGCCCCCACTCATTATTTACCCCCAATATTTATGCCTCAAAAAAGTTTTTTATTCCCTCTCAGCATTTACCCCCAATATTTGCTCCTACTGTTTATCTCCTCATAGATTATCTTCCCCCCATTTACCCCCAATACTTCCCCCCCTCAATGTTTACCCCTTCAGAAATCCTTCATCTTTTCTCAGTATTTATCCTCCAATATTTACCCCTTCATAGCAAATTTTTTACCTCCTCTCAATATTTACTCCCTCAAGGGGAACCTTTTATCACCCCCCCTCAGTATTTGCCCCTTCAGAGAAAATATTTACCCCCCTCGCTATCTACCCCCCAATATTTACCCCTCAAACGGGATCTTTTGCCCCGCTCAGCCCTTCCCGCCATGTTTGTCCCCTCAGAATCCCCCTCCCCACAACTTCCCCCCTCACGTAAATCTCTTTCCCACCCTCAGCTCCTCTTTCCCCCTTTAACCTTTCATGAGGGTCTCCTACCCCCCCTCAGCCCCTCCCGCCATTTTTTCCCCGTGTCCCCACCACACTGTCCCCTGTCCCCAGCCCACTGTCCCCAACTGTGCCACCCCCATGTCCCCAGCCCACTGTCCCCACAGTGTCCCCATGTCCCCACCCCAGTGTCCCCACCATATGCTCAGCACACTGTCCCAACTGTCCCCCCTGTGTCCTGTGTGCCCAGGTGTCCCTAGCACACTGTCCCCATGTCCCCAGTACACTGACACTGTCCCCACCGTGTCCCCAGTGTCCCCACCTGATGGGCCCGAACTCCTGCAGCGCCTCCACCAGGTCAGCCTCCACGATGCCGTCGATGAGGCCGCGGATGTGAACCACGGGCGACGCCGGCGTCTTGTGGGGGTCCTCGTAGTTCTCCTGGGGACACCGAGGCTTGGGGACATCCCTGTGGGGCTGGGGACACCCCTGTGGGGCTGGGGGACATCCCCGCTGGGCTGGGGACACCCCTGAGGGGCTGGGGACATCCCTGTGGGGCTGGGGACACCCTGTGGGGCTGGGGGACATCCCCGCTGGGTTTGGGGACATTCTTCTGGGGCTGGGGGACGTCCCACATCCCTGTGGGACTTGGGGACACCCCTGAGGGGCTGGGGACACCCCTGTGGGGCTGGGGGACATCCCTGTGGGGCTGGGGACACTGAGGACTTGGGGACACCAATGGCTTGGGGATACTCCGGCTGGGTTTGGGGACACTGAGGGCTTGGAGACACCCCTGCTGGGCTTGGGGACACTCCACAACCACGGGGACACCCCCAAACCCCACAGCTTTGGGGCCAGGCCGAGTAGAAATGGGACCCTACACCCCTTAAA